TCTCTAAGGTGTTTGGGGTTCGGGTGGTGCGGACCCTGGTGAATCTTTACCGAGATGGTCGTGATTGGTGCAACTTGCATTCGGACCAATATCACCAGGGTGGCTATCCCATTGATCTCACCGTAGGTGCGACCTTTGGAGATCCACGCAGGCTGCTGTGGGTGGAGAAGCGCAATACACGTCACAAAATTGAGCTCCCACAACGCAATGGGGACGTTTTTGCGTTCTCCGACAAAATCAACACGACTTGGCGGCATATGATTCCTGAGGAGGGTCCTGAGTGTGGACCGCGCATCTCGGTGATCGTGTGGTGTGACCGGCAGGAGTCTTCCAATTGGCTGGGCTCTCTGGGAAGTTTCCCACACATGCTGTATCACAATCCACGGGGTAGGGGTCAGGACTTTAAGGCCAAGCCGCAAAACCGAAGGGCGGCATCTTCACCGATCTTGGGCCCTGAGCAACTTCTCCCTGAGGAGCTGGAAGATGCTTTGACAAATGCAAAAAAAGCGATAACTCTGCAAGGAGCACAGCAAGTGTTTGCAATTCTTCGTGGCATCAAGCTTATTGAAAATCGCACTTGGGCAATTCCGAGGGGATGGTATGCCCTACATGCAGGTGCACAAATGATCAACGAAGAGCGTGCTCAACGAACCAGAAAGGCTTGGCCAGAGGCGCCGCCAGAGGAAGAGCTACCCCATGGAGCCATTGCGGGTCTTATTTACATAGACCAGAATTGCAAGCCGAGGGATTGCAGGAAAGGCTACATTTGGGCGCGGGGGCCTATTTGCAATGTGATCTCTCGTGCAGTGGAGCTTCCGAAGCCAGTACGATGTCGTGGGGACCGTGGACTTTGGGAGCTACGAAGCTCGTTGAAAGTTCGGATCCGCTCGGAGTTGCTAAGAGCTGGGAGTTGTTGTGAGGTGAAGCACTTTGACCTGACCCCAGCACTTGGACGTGCGGATGATTCTCGATGCGGATGATTGTGGGAGACTTGTGTCACCCCTTTGAGTCACAAAGAGCACTTGGCAAGGGGTGCTTGTGTAGTCGCAGTCCCCAGATTCAATCCGAGACACCCAGAAGACGGAGAAAAGTGCTTGCATGACTTTTGCAGTACTTGCCAAATTACACCCAGCATGGGGGAAAACATCACCTTCAAAGATAGAGAGTGCACAACTAGGTTCAGCGCTGTCCTTCCATCAAGAAGGAGAATGTACAGGCTGGCTGGCTTCAATGATTTTGCAGTACGTCTTACTGGTCGACTCATATTTGCCAGAAGTACTACAATCAATTGTATAATAACAGTATAACAAGGTAACTCATGGCAGTTTGTGGATGTGGTCTCATTCTGCCCAAGGTCCGGGATGTGGTTCTTTTGATTGAGAAGAGGAGTGAAGGCAGGCCAATTGCCGGAGTTTGAAATTTGGGTTTGACACTTTTTGGAACTGTTTGAGGATCCGGAAGTGGACCGGCTAGGAGCCCAGAACATTGAAACCGGCAGCACTAGCGGTCCTTTCATGCCTGAGTGGGAATGGAGGTCCTTAAATTGGCGGTGGCAGCAGGCAACAACGCGCCATCTCAATCTGAAACGAGCACTGTGCCCGCTTGCTTCTATGATTTGTCAGGCGCTGTAGCTCTTTCAGGCCTTGTTGTGCTGGTCTTAGTGGACAGGCTCCAGACCATCCGTGATGCTTTGTCATGGGTAGCATTACATTCTTTGTTTTGTGTAGTTTACATCGCCATTTGAGTGATAGGCAGGATCTCTGGCTAGAGAAACCTTGGGCATGGTCAGGGTCAGCCCCCTTCCTGTTTTTCCATTCTGAACCAACCAGGGGGGGGGGCCGACAACCATAGATTTTGTCCAATTCAAATCGAACGCCGCAGCCAAATCAAGCTTGTGTTGTGCGAAATCACTGTGGAGCTCCCAAACCAAGCTTGTGTTTTGTTAATCTCACTGATTTCATGATCTTGCAATACCCCGAGAGTGTCACTTCCCTTTGAGTCAGGTGCGTTTGATGGCGTAGCAACATGCTAAACAAACAAAAAATGGACTGGACCCATGTACATGAGGCTACCTGCAGCTAGCTTTGGCCATGCAGTCCTGATGCCTCCTGATGTCCAGCGATGCTAGATCTAACTGTGGAAGGTTTGCAGCAAGAAATTGCCCGGCTTCACTTGCAGCTGCATGGCAGAAAGCTCCAGTATTGAGCCGTTCTCAAGGCCGAAGGCATTATAGAGGGTCAGAAGGCCGTTCTGGGTCATATCCATACAGGAGCTGTCAACTTTCATTAATGGCAAATGCATTCTGGTGCTAGTTGAGGTTCATTCACTCGGATGTTCGAAAAAAGTTGAATTATAAGCCAGGAGAACCATGTTTCAGTTCACATGAGGGTGCCATCCTCCAGAATTGTATTTTTACAACTTTGTTGTCGAATCTGGAATCGGCCATAGTAAGAATTCTAGCATTGATACAAGAGTCTTCAAATTGATGAAGCGTGTTCAAGCTCTATGTCCAAACAAATGAATCACATCCAGGTTTTAACCCCCTGCACACCACAAGAGTTCATGAAAAGCATTGAACTACTTAGACACTGATCAAGCGTGGCCTCAACCAAGGCTTTTGGCTAAGGAGACTGTGCATTGTCATGTTCTTGCTGCAGCATCAAAGCTTTGGAGTCCACACCTTGGATCATGGCGACCGACTTTGCTGCTTGTGGTTGTGACGGTGCACTCATAGAGCCTTGAGCAAAACTTCAAGGCAGCCACGAGATCCGGAACGCATCTTCGACGTGCAAAGAGGCTGGTGTGATACGAAGCACAAACACCGCAAAGAAGTTGTCAACACCGCAGCGCTACAAACCAACAGGTGCAAACAGAAGAAGTTGAGATCCAAGGCGAGGCCGTGTGCTATATTGCCAGGGATCTAACTATATTTATATGTTGCCAGGCATGTGATATATATATATATATATTTCGATTGCACTTATCACCTATTATCACATTCACGAAAGCCAGCGAACGCATGCGAACGAGTGAACATGTGTTGAGGTCTTGGTGATGTGGGAGATGTGTCGATTTTGTTGCCTAGGTGATGTTGATGATGCGAAGGTGTGGTTGTTAGCATCAATGGCATCAAGGTGTGACTTGTAGGTAGGTCGATGGATTGCCCTTTGAATCACCTGCAGGTAGGTTGATGGATGGATGAATAGACAGAAGTGTCAGAGAGTCAGAGAGCTGGCGGGATAGATGTATAAGAGATATATAGTTCTTTGGTGGATGTGGCTCGAGGTGAGAAAAGTATGCAAAGTGCTGCTAGACTTATCAGGTGGGTGGATGGAGGGATGGATAGAAGGGAAGGGAAGGTCAGAGAGACAACGAGACAACAGCTGAAGAGGTAGGGAGATGGAGACATAGTGAGAAGATGCGGCTAATTAGATGTAAAAAGATGTAAAAAGATGATCAGCAGATGTGGATGGATGTGTGCAGAGTGTAGATACGTCAATGGATGGCTAGTAGAAGAATGGGAGGGTGGATGGGTGGATGGATGATAGGTAGAAGGTAGATGTGGATAGATGGATGCGTGTAAAGTGTAGATAGGTCAATGGATGGCTATGGATGGCTAGTTGGACGAATAGGGGGGGCAGATGGGTGGCGGGACAAAAGCGGAGAGAGAGGTAGAGAGATAGCAAAAATGATATGAGCTAGAGAACAGATCGAAGCCACCCCTAGACTAGAGGCGCCCTTCTTTTGTTTTCTTTAAGGGCCTGCTAACCAAACAAAGGGTCGAGAGCTGGAGAGCAAGACCTGTGCCGTTTGATGCTTGGAGTGGTCCAAACGTGCAGAATGCAATGCCAGCAGCACTCGTAGAGCTCATTCACACACTCTAAGGGAGTTGAAGCGTTGGCAATTCTTCTGGACGTTTTGAGTGCGCTTGTAGGTAGGTCAATCGATGGAAGGATGGATAGAAGGGGAGAGAGTGTCAGAGAGATAGCGAGACAGAGAGATTTGCTGAAGAGATAGAGACATATCATAGAGATATTGTTCCGTACACATGGCTAGATGTAAAAAGAGGGTATATAAGTAAATGTGGACAGACGGACGTGTTTAGAGTGTAGATAGGTCAATCGATGGCTAGTTGGACGAACTGCTGGGTGGATGGTAGATGGATACGAGAGTGATAAGAGGTGAGAGTGTCAGAGAGACGGCGAGACAGAGATATAAGCTGAAGAGATACGGAGATAGAGTCATAGACTAATAGAGGGATAGATATTTTTGATAAGTAAAAGTGGATAGATGGATGTGTCTAGAGTCTAGAGTTTATACAGGCCAATGGATGGCTAGTGGGACGAATGGGTTCTGGAAAAAAAAAGGGGAGAGAGGTAGAGAAATAGGGGGATTGAGAGGTGGAGAGCTAGAGAACCTAGGGGTGCCCTTTTTTCTGAGGGCTTGACAACCAAGAAAGGGCACCTCGGTGGTTGCTGGCTGGCCTTGGCTTTCGTCTCATCCCTTCTCAGGTATGTCCTTTCATGGCTTTCCATGTTCTTTTCCTAATGGTAAAGGATACCAGTCCTGGAAATAGTAATTACTGTACATATAATTGCAAGTTATCGGAGATGAAACGAGACTAGTTTCGCCCACTTTGTTCTTCAGGAGTTCCATTCTCTGAGACTGGGGCGACCCTGGCCTCTACTTTCAGCCTTGATCATGAGACGCTTCCGGACCACGGTGATTCTGAGATACTATGTGACGACGAGGCAGCGCGCGTAGTTGATGTGTATTCTCTTTGTGTCCCAGGCGCCTAGAACACAGTCTCAATATGTCTCAATGCAGCCGGTCATGAATGTGCTGCATTCGGTCTCATTTAACATACAGTCGCATATCCCACATCTTTTGGCTCAAAACGGCAATTTCAATCATTCTCAGCAATTTTCAACCTCTTTGCTTTTGCTGCCTGCTGTGTGTACAGTTCAACACAGGAAGCAATAGCCTGCCAAGTATTGAACATGTCCAGTTCAACCGGCTGTGTTTCAAGCCAAGTGAGGACAGCTTGCACGCAGGTGGAGTATTATTTGTCGAACGAGAACTTGCAGCATGACAGATTCTTTCGGGATCTGATTGCCGAGGATTTCGGCTGGATCGACATGGACCCCATTCTGCGATGCAATAAGATCAAAAGCTTGGGCATCTCCCGAGAAGATCTCCTTGAAGCACTTCGGTGCTCGGAGCTTCTGGACGTTCAGAACGGGCGCGTCCGTCGAAAAGCACCGTTCAGACCGGATGACATAGGACATGCAGAAGGACGTGGAGGAAGGAAAGGCGACACCAAAGGAGGCAAAGGAGAAACCAAAGGAAACCCAGGAGGCGGCAAAGGAAGGAAAGAGATGCAGGTTCCTATCTATGACCCTGCTGGACCTTGTGGATACTTCATGGCTGGATACTGCCAACATGGAAAGAAGTGCTTCCTTCAGCACTCTGTGCCATACGCTATGGCCATTCGGGACGAATGGCTACATGCCGGTGAGTCGGGACCTCGGAAAGCGTTGCAAGCTGCAGCGGTTGAAGTTCTGGGAGAAGATGCAGCAAGTCCGTTATTTCCTCGAGTTTTTTCTCACAAGCTTCAATGCAAGGCTCTGGCCACGGCAGGGGCAGATGACCAGAGCCTGTCAGATTTAGGTTTTGAGTGGAGCACAGAGGATGCCACCAAAGAGCTTGCTGAGAAGAAAAGCCGTTGGACTCGACATTCAAGGCGGAATGATCAGCCCTTTGAAAATCGACTGCATGGAGCACCCCAAATACACTATTTTCTGATCTTCGATCTTGAAGGGAAGCATGAGATCATTGAATTTCCTGTGCTACTGTTTGATGCAGTTGCAGGCCGTGAGATCGGCCGCTTCCAAAAGTTTGTCCGCCCCACTGATCTCTTCAAAGGTTGCCAGCTGATTGAGACCCCTGCAGTTCCATTTCCTGCTGTCCTGGAAGAGTTCAATCGCTGGCTAGAGGGGATGGTTGGGAAAGGTTTGCAAGCGATGGGGCAGGACTCGTCTGACATGGTGTTCGTGACCTGTGGTGATTGGGATTGCAAACACGTTTGGACCCAATGCCAGATTTGCGGCGTGCCTGCTCCAAGAGCCTTCTCACAGTGGATCAACATCAAAAGAACTTATGCCAACACCTTTGGAGGTGACTTCCGAGGAATGAAGAGCATGCAACTCAGCAAGCACAGGGCACATGTTGCTACAAAAATGCATGCGTTTTTCTCACATATTACCAGCCTTTTGTTTGTACACCCCTTTTCTTTTTTGTCGGGTACTGTTTGTTTTCTTCGTTTCGGGGGGCGGTGTTGCTCCTACACAATTTGAGGCTTTCCAGGCTTCGAATGCTTGACAAAGATGGCAACCCCAAGCACGGATTTCACCACTTGGGCATGCATGATGTTGAAAACATCACTCGCTGCTTGGTCCACTTGGTGGAGCAAGGCACCCAGCTTGAAGTGAATGGATGGTGGAAATAATAGGGCCCCACTACCGGTCTCGGAACGCTGAAAGGCCGAGCGGCCAAGATTTCGCAATCCAGCCTAGCAGGCTTTGTACAGAAGGTTGTCCTGGATGTGTCCCGGATGCTGGGACCAAGTTGGTGCACAAAAAGGGTTTGACGTAGTTTGTTGTTTGCCTGAGGCGGACGCTGTAGCCTAATTCTTTGAAGTCAGCCAGCTGTCAATTGTTGGGCATCCGTCAGGCCATGATGCGATTGCTACGTGAATTGCACAAGGAGACATGGTCCAGCTAGGTTCCAGTTTGAGGGGTGCTGTCAAAGGAGGCAGAAGAAGGTCCCACAAGGCGTCGCGTCACTTTGCAGGAATTGGGCGAAACCCAGTCCAAAGCCGGAGATGCAGCACCTCAAAGTGCTTCAAGCCTCATGGCAGATCTCAAGCAAAAGGTCAATCAATGCATGATGCACGTTTCGCATTGAAACTACCGCATTTTTCGTATAATAGAATGTGTATATTACATATTTATATAGATATACATAGGTCTTTACATACACACATACTCCACATCCAACGTCAAAATCGCAGCTCTAAAGAAACATAGTTGAGTGCTGTAGTCCATGCCAATTTGTACTTGCTTGGTTTGTTTTGCTGCTCTTTTCTTATTCTCATCTTTTGTTTTGTGAGAGTTCACCTCCAAGGCAAGCTACCCATAGATCCCTGTCGCCTAGAGGAGCTTGTTGCTGCACGCCTCAGCAAATGGGTATCCTGGCATCACCAGTTTGGGATTCTTGTACACCGGGGTGCATCATTTACCAGGGTGCATTTGTTTCCGCGAATGCTTCGGACAAATTGGGTTATATAAATGGTGAAATCCTCAGTAAAGAGTGTGGGCTCAAGTGATCATCGTGAAAGCCAGCCTGTAGGCAAGGTCCAGATTTTGCGCATCCCCACCACGCGTTCCAGGGTTGTTGCGGCGTTGCAGTGGTAAGAAGTGATGCGAGTGACGCCTTCCGTCGCACATGGTGATGGTAGTGGTTTCTGGGTCCGTCCGGGTGACCCTCTCGCTCCCCCTTCACGGTTCTGGTGGGATCACTGTCGAATGGTCAGGTGTATTGCACTGATGGTATTTCTGAGCCGATCCCGGACCTTCCTGGTGTGTCACTTTCTGCTGGATGTGTTAGCGAAGAGCTACAGACTGGGAGCGTGAAAATGGCGCTGGTCACAGCAGAGCTCCCAGGTGACCACAAGACGCTGTTCGTCATTTTCAAGGGGACCTCCTACTTGCTGGATGTAGTGAACTGGAATATGGAGCACGACTACGAAGTGATCGGAGATGGAAACCATTTCATGCACAAGGGAGCTGCCGGAATCATGAGGAATATCGTCTTCATGAAAGTCCGGCCGTCCTCAGACTTCGCCAGAAGACTTGAGCAGGCGTACAAAGAAGGGGTGCGCAACATCGTTTTGGCTGGACACTCGCTTGGTGGCATGTATGCCATGGCTGGCATGTACTTTGCTTTTCAGGAGCTGCAAATTTTACTGCCAGAAACTTGTCTTGATTGGTCATCAAGATGTGAGGGACTTCAGTGACTCCTCAGACATCATTTACGTTTTCAGATCAGTTGAAGCGGGGGTCAAATCAACCGTGCTTGTATCCTACTGGTATATCATCTTTAGGACCGCTTCTACTAAAAATGCTGCTTATAGATACTTATAGGTTTTGGATAAGTTGGATTGCCAAGTAGCACAAACAGGTTGGAAGTGCGTTGCAAGTAGGGTAAGTATATAGCTTCAGTTTCAGACTATTTGTTGCTATGTCTATATATATATATTAATTGCAACAACTTAAAGTCATTTGAGCTAATTACTTAGCAAAAGAAGTTTAAGTGGGTCTTTTTTACAAACAACTTATATAGTTCTACTTGGGATCTACTCCGAATTTTGCATTCAGTACTAAAAACATGTTCTTGATGACGGAAGACAATTGGAAAGACATGGTTTTGATTGATAAGCGGGGTGTCCGCTGGTTTGTTTGTGTTTTTAATGTTTTCTTGCTGTGCGGGTCGCTGTGTGTAGGCAGGAAGCGCCTGCTGCTCTATGTTTGTTGCTGGAACGGGTCCCCCTTGTGTAGATAGAACACGGCCCCTTGAACGGCTCGGTGAGGTTGGGTAGAAAGCGATGCATGCATTTGCTGGTTTGCGTTTGCTGTCCCCCGTGTGCAGGTAGACATGCGGTGCTTGAACGTGAACGGGTCAGTTTGTGAAGATAGAATTCGGATGAAAGCGGTGTGTTTAAGCTGGTTTGTGCTATTGCGTTCTCGACTTAGTCTACTGGCTACTGTTTGCAGAGCGGTTGCCCGCTTGCTTTGTGTTGGCATCTCCGGAAGGCATCCGAAGACAACCAGGTAGTTTAAGCCTGACAAAGCTCACAAAGAAACCTGAAGATAGTTTGTAGGTATCCGGTGAAGAGTTGGAACGGAAACGCCAGCAGAGAACCACTCACGCCTCACGCACACCAAAAAAAGCGTGCTGCGCAAACTAAACTATATGCACGATATACAGGAAAACAAGAACAACGTACTTTCAGAACCGCTCGCAAAGAAAAGGCAACACAACAAAGTTCAAGCGGATCTGTCGGAATAAACATGCATCCGCTAAGTTTGTTTGCAAGCTACAAGCAGTGTTCCGCTGGTTTGTATTGTTAGACATCCAATATATATATTAGACCAAACGTTGGCCTCTTTATTTGGGGCCTTCTGTTGAAATTGACGTCTAAAAACGGAGGTTCGTAACTGATTGTGGCCTGGGTATGTAACTGATGTGGCCCTCAGCATGTAAATGAGGTTGGGTCATGTAAATGATTGGGCCGTGCACATGTAAATCAAGTCACGGTGGAACGTCAACATGAGGAGATATTGATATGACTCAGAACTATTATTTCTATTACTACTATTCCTAGATTAGACTATGGCAACGACTATGGGCTATTAGCAAGGCACTATTAGGCTATGGGCCATGGGCCTTTAGTAAAGTCTATAAGTCTATACTATCTAATATCTATAGTTAAAGATGGGTGTGGAAACTTTGGGGTCAAATGTGTGGACAACATCTCTCTCTCTCTCTTCAATTTGTTATCCATTTGAAGATGGTGAGTCGCCCATATTAATATTGCATTTTGAGAGAGAGGGAGAGAGGGCGAATGGGAGAGAGACGAGCTGTGGTGGCCCAAGCAAGCGCTTCACTTCCCCAGCATGAAGCGCCATGGCAGCTGGGATTTGTTTGAAGACAGCCCAGACGGCTCTACAGAATCTGGAATGCATTGTATGTTACACACATCACATCACAGACAAACAAAGGTGCAATCAGTTCATATCATACCTCGCATTCTCACAATAACATTCTGCTACATACTCCAATACTGACTGCAGTGGCGCAGACAAGTTTGTTGTGTCAAGTTTGGTGTCTCTTGTAGACGCTGTTCTCAAACAAGGAGCAGGAGGAGGAGGACGAGGACGCGCAGAACAACCCTCCTGATTCTGAGAATGGGCCTTGCATCACTACGTGTCCAGACTTTTGGGTGCCAGCGAGCCTGGGCTGAAGTCAGTAAGTTAGTTAGTCGTAAGTTAGTTAGGTTAGGAAGTCAGTAAGTTAGTTAGTAGTCGTAGTAGTAGTCGTCGTCGTAGTAGTAGTAGTAGGAGTAGGAGTAGTAGTAGTAGTAGTAGTTGTTGTTGTAGGGGAAAGATCGTTTGGGTTTTCTTCAGGGTCTGAACCTTCACTCGCCACTGTAGGTATTTCAATCTGGCTCAGCTCTCCGATGATGACCGAAAGGAGATTGTGGACAAAAGGCCAACAGGCTGCAAGTTCCAAACAACTAACTAACTTAACTTACATGTCTAGGAATCGTAATCCCTAATCATAAATAGAATAGTCTAGTCAGAATCCATTGCTTTTACTCTCCTGGAAACCTCCTAGCTTTGGAGCCAATTGTTTCAATGGTGGCTTTTGTAGCTGCACCCCTTTTACTTGCGATTTCTTACTTTATAATCACTACTTTAAAGAAGTGAAGCGGTGAAGTGATGAGACGAGTCGACTTGCAAGACTTGAACATTGAATGCGTTTCACAGTGTTATTTTTGATCATTTGGACTGCTGTATGCATTGGGCACCATGGACCATACTTATACTGTATACAAGTACATCATGCATATCATACACACCACACATGTCCTCATTTCACATGACGGGACGGGTGACTGGTGCAATGCGACAAGGTATATATTCTGGGGAGGATGCGAGGGAGCTGGGACAACGGCTTATGTAGCGTGCCTGGATTGCAATCATTGAGAGTCAGCCAAACCAAACCAAGCTAACAACCTTAGCCTTAGCATAAGTTTTGAACTTGTAGTTGTTGTACTTGTAATTTGTAAGTTTGGTATGACTCTGACTGTGATATAGAACCAGTAGTGACTAGGGGCCTGGGGGTTCTTGGTGTGTGCGTGTTTCGGCTTTCAGGCTTCAAGTAAAGTGAATTTGGAAAGTTAGGTTCATGATTTGTCCAATTGGTTCCGTTACTGTTACTGTTTCACATAGTTCTGCACACCAGCAGCATAAACAATAGAAAGGATCAGGGAGAAGGTTCGACATTTTGCATGTCCAGTATTTTTCCAGTCATTCCGAGTCATTCCTACTAAGTTCAAGAGTTGCCAAAGAGCTTGGCATCACCATGAACCTCTCCTTCAGCAGTGAAAAGGATGCAAAAGCGAGGGATTGGTGCATGAAGCATGGGGACTGCAACTTGGCACTGGTGTTCCGAATGGGTAGTGTAGGGATGGACCCTTTTTGCCTAGCGTTGTCAAGCGAAATGATGGAGGTTGACCCTAAATGATTGAGGTGAAAGGACCAAGGCTAAAGGCCACTTCTGCCATTTCAGGCTTCAGCAATGGTCTGGTTTAGTGGTCACAGTCCACACTTGTACAGTCTAGTCCAATCAGTCCAAACATCTGACACCGCCAGCCAACCATGGACCATGGAAGTTTACTCTAAGGGCATCATTTCTACAAAGACATTGAGGACGACCTTGAGGGCGGATACTGTTTTGCTTGCGGCGACGTTCATCATTGCCTGAGCATAGACGAAACTTTCCTTGATTTGATTTGCAAATTTCAGTAGTTGTCACAGACTGCGACTCAATCAAATTATGACTGGCGTTCTCTACATTTTTAACTTTAAGACTTAATGCAACAGTTCAAACAACACAACTATCAGACTGACTATCAGTCATTATCATCGTCCCATTTTGACTTATATGAATTATATGAATGAACTCCTGATTTATTAGCCATATCATGTCATATCAAGAATAGAATAATCTCTTTCAGATCAAGTGCCATTGACACCATGAGTTGTCACCTAATGGTCAGACTCTTGCTCCTCAAAAAAAAGTCAGTCAAAGACGCACATTTGCAATTAGCATTGGTTTTGTTTCAAGCAAGAAATCCAGTGTGGCACTGAGGATGACTTGGCACTTTTGGGCATCCCATGCCCTCTTTTCTCATCATTGAACCCAAAGGCACGGCGAGCAGGCTACAACCCTTTCTTGGAGAGTCTTGGCTCTTAGAACAGCTCTGAAATGGAGTGGTGACTCATCACCAAAAAAGACTACAAAATGTCACCATCAAAGCTATGAAGAGATCAAATAGCCAGAGTCATTGACATTGACCTGTTGAGAGCGGGTCTTGACAGATGTGCCCTGTACAACTGTACGGTACGTGTGTTTTTATATTAATGCTCATTGACGGCCAACGCCAAAGCTGGTTCGAGTCAGTACTCACATATCTTAAACAGCCTTAGGATAGATGGATGTGGCATCTGAGGCCTGAGGTGCGCGTTATCAAGGCATGTCTCAAAAAATTGAGAGTCCGCAACCCTCGCTGCTTTGTGATAGAAGAGGCGCCTTGTCTAGGAAAGAGCCATGTGAGAAACGGCCAATTGGCCACTCTCGTAAAAACAAACGCAGAAAGACTGGTAGTCAAATTGGCAGCTTTGGCAATTTGCGACAGCAAACAGCACACTTGACAATTTGATTGTACCATACTGTACTGTCCAGCCGGATTCCCGCCACTTCCCCACGTGTGTGTCTTTTTTCCCTTTGTTGGCATTGGCTGAGAGGTTCAATTACACTGATAGTGATAATGATATGATATGATTGATATGATACACTGATACAAATACAGGATTTACTAGTAATTAGCAGTAGCAGTAGTAGTCACTAGAATCACTAGAAGCACTGGTGGTGCAGGTTGCCTGTGTAGATTGTGAACGTTTCAATGCAAAGGCACTGGCAATAATATGAAAGAATATGAATTGGAATTGGTTAGTGCAGTTTCCGTTTTCCTTGTTACATTGTTGTTGCTGAACTGTGGGGTTACTGCTTTCTACTGGCACCTCAGGTTTGGTCCATCATGAAGCCATTTCCAGAGCCTTTGAGCGGGTCATGGAAGAAGTACAAGGCGCCGCCGTTTGAGGTTGCGACTTGGGAGTCAAAAAG